GCTGAAACTCTACTTCACTGGCACAGAAGGAGGTAAGGTGGTAACAAGAAGGCATGTCTCGATTTATCTGATGGCAATAAACAGAATCATTTTTCTTTGCAGCAATTCCTATTCAGAATTACAAAGAAAAAAACATAGGTGTAGTAAAAAGTCACCATTTTGTTAAGAAGTGTTACTGTAAGACTTACCTTACTCTGAACCTTTTCCCCCCAAGGATGGCAAGCTCTGAAGTCCAATGCACAGGGAATTAAAGTGTAAACATTCACATATTTAATAGTACCATCAAAATAACCATCACTACATTAAAAACTTCAAAAATGCATTTGCGTATGGTCCTAATATAAATTAAATATATGAACTGAAAGTAAATAAATTTAACATTAGGTAATGCTATAAATAAAGGTAAATGCGTTTAGTGTACCTTTGAGTCATAAAAATGCCTTAAAAACAGGTAAGTTAGTTTACAGCTTATCAATCACCAAAACTCTGGATACCACTGCCATGATTCATGATTTTTTTCAAACATTGACAAGTCTATATTTGACAATTCAGAATGATTTTTGGCCACTGAACACTTTGATGGAGGAAGAGGTGTGGGATGTCCAGGATGAAGTCCAAGTTTTATTTCAGAATAAAACTTCTTTGATTCCCAGCGCTGATAACAAGGATCTTTCTTTTCAATACCTTAATTTTAAGTGCTTTTTTTATTTGGGTTTTTAACTTGTTTAGATATCCATTTTGCGAAGGCTCATCCTGCTGAAGGAGTCTCTGAGGGAGAGAAAATACGGTGATATCAGAGCTCATATTTTCCATGATGAAATAGGAAGCTTGTTAAGATGAATGATTCTGTACATGATTTCCAACATTCCTACAGCTGGCTACTTCAAAAATTAAGTCTATTGACATGAAATCATTGCTTTTTAAAATGAATTTGCTTTGTGTCTGTATCTGGGGTCATTTAACTGCTGCTCATGGTTTACAGCCCTGAAAGCTCACAGGAGATTAAATTCATGTGTATGTAGAGAAGCAAAACAAACCGTCTGTACTACTTAAATCTTATTTAAATCCTTCAGATAAATCTCTAAGTGGACTTTGGTTGAAATACCTGTATAACACACTTTGCACAGGATGAATTTCACAAAATCAGAAAATAATTACCATGACAAAAGCGCTTGCGAGGTATCCACCAAAGGTGGGGAGGAAAGCCTATTGCCTCTCCCACCCCTTCCCAACTAAGAAAAAGTAGCTCCAGTAGAGCTAGCAAACAAGCACATCAGCTGGGGTGAGCTTAAAAAGTCATGACCTTGGGTTACGAGGAAAGGCCACCTTTCTGCAGTATTCAGCAGGTAGAAAAATACACCAAATTCAGCTACAGAAACACTGCCAAGCATTTCAGTGTGAGCTGGGAACGCTCTTTTCCTTCTTCATCCAGCACTATGTCTTGCTCTTATTTATAGTGTATTTTTGCCACATTTCTCTTTTCACAACAGCTTGGATCTTCCCCGTTGCTCTTTACCTTTGAACAACACTCACAACTTGGGAAGTTCAAAACCAGGGCTGTATTCTTCTAAACCAACAGCACAGATATGAGCTGAAGTCAACATTGGCATAAATATTCTACAGACTTTGCAGTTAAAAGCACTGAGTGAACGTCCTTTCAAAAAAACTCACCCCACTCACTGGTCTGAGACCGAGATATCCATGCAGCCTTGTCAGACTGGTTTAGCCTACCTCACTGAAAAGGGACATGACAGGGTTCTTTTCAAGGGGGAAAGTCAAAGATTTCGTGGAGGGTACCTGCCGAAAGGCGCTCCTCTCCCTATCCCGGGAACCAGAGCAGGCACACAAATAGCAAGTGGAGACAAAATACTGCTAATTAAGGGGCTGCCAGCTGTTCTATTTCTTCAATAAGGCAGGCAGGCACTGGAAAGTGAGGGCATCAGTTTTCTTGTTCTTAGGACCCTAGATGTAGGCAACCAAATGCATGCGTGACTGTGCACTTTCTACCATAAATGCAGTTAGAAACTATGCAGGAAAAGTCCCCCGCTCAGTCACAGTTTGTCCCCACAAACCAACTTTGCCAAGGGCTCTGACTTGCTTTGCGCATTCACAGAGGGTTTTTACGTTCAGTCCCATTGGAGAGGAACAAAAAAGCCTGGACTCCAGCCCACAGGTCTTCCAACATGGAAAACATCAACTGTTTTTCTGCTGTTGCCACCCTCCCTGCCTTGGATTTCCTCATGCCAGCTCCTCTGGCAATACACAAGTGTCAGAGTCCTGCTACCTTGAAGGTGGTTTTGAGATTAAAAAGAACGGGATGTGAAAAGAAAAAAAGCTCTTTTCATAGATCAGGAGCTCGTGGGACATGCAGAACATCACCTACCATAACTGCTGGGAAGGGGATGTGTTCTGAGCCCAGGACGGATGGGGAAAGAGATGGACCCAGCCAAAAGATCCATAATTAAAAAAGAAAAACCAACATATTTCACAGGTTCACCAGGAAGATCAAACCTCCCAATTTTACACTCTCCTTATCTCTGCTGAAAGAGTAAAATCAAATATCCACCTGTGGCAAGCGACTGGCAGCACTGCCTTATATAACTGCGGGATCTTTCTATTTATCAAAGGCTGGAGAGCTTCCTTTAACCGGTGATAATTCCTTTCAAGTTCTCGCTGATACTCCTTTTGGTCTGGACCAATCAGGCTCTTATTCTTGCGCAGAGCATCTTCACATCTAGAAAACAAAAGTCTGTGAAACTTAGGCACATGAAAAAGGACCTGCCTGCTAGAGACTTGTTAATTTAGTAGCACAAAAAAGCTTTCATCCTGCTCCTCTGAGTTGACATGTAATATCCTTCTCTATCTCGTCCTTTGGGTAATAAGGACTCAGCTTAACTGGTAGGTCTCCACGGGGGAAGGAGAAGGTGTCACATCTCCAATTTCCATTTTACTTCTAGACTGGCAAGTCCTTTTTCATTTTAATTTTACTCCGCAATTACATTTATCCTCCCTGAAGAGAGATGAAAAGCTTATCTCTACATAGCCATTTCCAGTCCAAGAGGGTTTAAAGATGGATAAGTCTAATGCTATCCCCAGGAAAAAGATTAATAAATAGCAGACTATGAGATGTTCATCAGGAGCTCTTCTATTTGGAAAGATGTAATTTAATCAAAGGGTATAAAAAGAACTATAATATCAATGCCACTTATTATGTACCGAATAACTAAGTTGCCACCGGCTCTACTTGCTTGGAACAATTTTATTTCATTTTTTTTTCTAATTACTTGGTGCTTGCAAAAGATGCTGGATCAAGACTGCAATTTGCATTACTCAAGAGGAAAGTATAGCCGCCAACACATTTCTTGAGAGAACTCTGCCAACATGCTTCCACTCGGTTCGGAGAAATTCACTTCAGATAGAAATTAAATCTCCTGGCCAATTCAACAGTTTCTCCTGACCCTGCCAAGCTGTGAGTTCATTTGTGCCAGTGTGGCTAGTGGTGTTTTCCGAAACAGGAACACTTGTTCACAACCGAACTGTGATCACTAATTCATTCCTGATAAAACAGCACAGCCAAATAACTTCACATAACCATTTGTCGTTGTGTTTGACTTTATCTGTGGATCTGTGTAGCAGCACCACAGAAACAGGGAACCAACAGCTTAGAAGAATACAGCTGCCTACAGAAATTGGTTAGAAGAAAGCAGCAAATACCGACCGTTACAATATGAAAACTCCTCTCTGGATACACCTTTCTGCTACTGTACATGTTTCTGTTTGATGTGGTAGCAACAAATGCATCTGGAAGGCAACGTGAAAACAATATTCTCTACCTTTTTGTGAAATCTTTGAAACAGAGCCGTAGCTTGTTATGATGTCTGAAGAGCTTTGGATCATTGGGTATTTCAGATAAGAAAACTTGTGCGACTTCTAATGGTCCCTTTAGGAGTAGAAGAGAAAAGAGTAAGCTTCGCAGAACTGTCTGTCATATCCATTCACCGGAGAAATTTCTTGCATATAGAAATATTCATAAAAGGTAACATTTCATTATAGAATATATGTCTTAAAGAAATGCAGCTACTAAATCTAGCATAAATCATCAAATATCATGACAACTGTATGTCTTTTAGGTTCTTTTTAAATACAGCTCTGCTTTTGGAAAACAGTGTGAGAAAATGCACAGACTCTACATTTATTTTCTCTGATAACGACGCTCAATAAATTCTGCTCAACTGACAACTAAGGAAAAGTTAAGATGTTGCAAATGGAAGCAGGGAAGTGTTTGCCAACACTGCAAATTCAGCCCAGAATTTGAAATTCAAGCTGTGTTTTTTCCATTTTGTGCATTAGTATAGGTTTACTCATCTTTCCTCAATTTTTCCTCAATTTTTCTCCATTCACTAGTTTTGCTTTCCATTTTGTTCATAAGCCACAGCAGAACATATCCCAGTTCCACCCACCAGAGCCTGGCTAACCAAAGGGAAAGTAATAATACTTTGTTTTCTTAAAAGAGAGAAGGAAAAGCAAGCAGAAATGACTGAAAATGCCAGGAAGGAGCAGGTAACTGAGGGAGGAGGCCCATCTCTACTCAGCAACTTTCCAGATCTAACCACATTTTCAGGACTGTTATTGCAAATTGCAAAATGACCAAGAGCACCTCGTCTAGAACTACAAGTGAAGTGAGCCTTAAACGCATCCCACAGACTGAATGAAAAAAAGAAAAAAGAAAAGTAATTTAGAAACAAGGCCCAAAGTTGAACATCCAGCGAACTGAGTGATACACACTGCCCCACTGTCTCCAACTCAGAAAGCGCTTCTCACCTGGTTTACTGTGGTCCCTACTGATCCTTGCAGCACCATCTGGAGCATCTTTGGATCTGCAGGGTCTTGGTGAGTTGCAAAAGCTAATTCCTGTGTTTTCTTCTGCATGTCCTCTATGGCAACTTCAATGGGCGTCAAAATGATCTATGCAAGTAGCCAGAATACAGGACGCTTGTTACGATTGAAGCCGTCAACCAAAAACAGGCTTTCAAAAGCACTAAGGTCACTTTGGAGTGGCACTGAAGTGGTGGAGGACACCATTAAGACTGATGCACCGAAGATAAGCACTTCTGAACCTGTGTCCTCTCTTAGTTTAGGAACATTAAGAGAATTTTGATTTTTAAATGTGCTTCTACCTCTGGCTAGCCAGAGCCTTTTGAGATATTGCTTCTGAGTGGGCAGACTCCTGGGTCCCTTTGTGATCACTGCAACAAACTACTCAGGGTTATAGCACTATTTTAGTGACCAAACACCTGTAGGTCCACTGCCTTGCATTAAAATGCACATGTCATTGTGTCCCAGGGATCACATCAGTTCCTACCTACCCTTGAAAAATCAGCATAACTCTGGTACAAATCTCTTTATGAAGCCTCAGGCCCCCACTGGTCTGGTTGCTCTGCAAGTGAACTGCAATACAGAGTAAAGGACATGCGGTTCAAGCGGAATGGCAGAGATCAACTTGCAGCACTGCAAAGCTGGCCAAGGGCTTCTCCTCACACCAGCTGCTGTTATTGGGAACACTGGTGAAAGAGGTGGCAGGATATACTGTATTTTTAAATTGGTCTGCTTTTAATTTAAGTTGAACGGGAACAGGGGAAAGTTCAACAGAAATGAGCCATTCGTAAAATCAAAATGAAGGGCTCCCAAGCACAGTCCCTGCAGTGAACAGCCAGAGCAGCTAAAGAGTGCTGTCTGCTCTGGCTCGCTGCATAAGTTATGCACCTTAGCAGGAAGGGAAAGGTGGACTACTGAATGGCCAGGAGAGCGCGTCTGTGCTAACAAGACGCTAAGTGTGAAAGGACGGAGCTGAGGCAAAAAGCTGCATATATATAGCCTGGCCTGCTCTATACAATATGTCATGCATGAGTTTCAGCCACACCCACTTCATTTAGTCTTGTATAATATCTCACTTCAAATGCAGGAAACCACTGGGGATCTCTGTTATGCTGAGAATGCAGGCCTCACCTCCTCTTTGTGAATGACGTTTATCCTCGTTTTAATGTAAGGGAAAGCATGGGATGTTGTCAGGATTGTTTTGCGCTTGAACTGCTCGTGCAGCTCCCCGTGAGCTCGGCCATCCAGTGTGAAGGGTGTGCAGTACATGAAACGCCGCAAGTTGTAGTTTTTGTCGAAGTAAGTTATCCTGTCCTTCATCTCATACGTGTCAAAGTAAGGCTCCACGTAGGTTATCTGAATGTAGGCCTGAAAGAAGGAACGAACCCAAGCGTACCGACAATGAAGTACAGTGCCATATGAGGCCACACTGAGAAGAGCTGATTTCCCCTGCCTTTTAGCAGCAAAACAACCCAGCTCACTCTCAGCTCTTTATTCCTCAAGACAGCTCTGGAAGAACTAGGACTGTTCCTTGTCTTTCCTCAGAGGAATCACACTCATGTTCATGGGGACTAGGGATGCCTGGACTTGATTATAAAATAAAGAGTATACCGTCCCTCTCCTTTCATGTTCTTCACATGAGGTGTCTCCTTCCTTTCTTTGCAGATAAAGCCTTGCCCTCATCTGCAGTCTGATTTCCTAGGCATGTTCTTATTATTCCTGCTATGCTTAAATGATCCAGCACAAGAATGACAAAATGCTACAGCTGCAAATGAGGCCAGAAGCCAGAGAACAGAGAAACTCCCTTCCTTCCTTGCATTGAGCAGCGATTACAAAGAAAGGTAAATGCAGCCTGAGACTGTGCCATCCTTTCGTCACTTAACCTTCCCTTCCCACCAACCCCTACAAGGTACAGGGCTTGGAGCAGGAAATGAAACGGCTAATTCTGCATTACTTTGCTGGGATGATTTTCCCCAACTCTCTCCCCGAGCAGCCACAACATGCTCTGAAAGTGGATTTCATTGCCTATTTGGAGAAATTCAGGGCAGAATTTGGCCCATTATACTTTCATATTTTTAGAACCAGTTCTCATTCTAAACCTGTATTTTGTGTTCTTACCTTGTTAGGATCTAGTTTACATTTGTCCACGGGGTTTGAGTCCTTAATAACTTCAAGCACATCTTCCCCAAACCGTTCTCCATAAAATCCCTACAATCAAGAGTAAACGTATGGAAAGGAAACATCAAATGCAGCAATCAGAGATGGGGGTTGGAGAGACAAAGGCATGTTCAGGGGAGATGAAGCTCCAAATGCCTTCAACAGTAGCTGTGCCAAGGCTGAATGTGATCTGCTGAACCTAGGAGAATTAAATCAATTGCATTCCAGGGGCAACAGGAAAAAAGCAAACCTAAAACCCTGGAAGCCAGGAGAACTCCAGAGCCTTCCAACTGCACACACACACACACACTGTATGGTTTTGAACCAGTCATCTGAGCTCTCTGTGTGTCTGTGAGCTCAACTGAAAACTGGGGTCAATACAGGCTCTGCTTGGAAATCAGGTGCTGCATTAGAGCACAGCTTTGCTGGGCAGGATGAATGGCCAGGGTCTGAACTCAGTTTCATGTGCTTAAACCTCAAATAACTCTGCTGCTTTCAGTGCAATGTGACAGCAACCAAATTGTTGTGACAGCAACAACGTGACATCAGACTCTGACATGTGAGGCCCTGTCTGTTCTGGTAAATAAAATAGGGCTAAGCCTGCACTCTGGCCCTCTGAAAAAGTAGCTGGCACAGCCCAGAGCCATGCAGCTAAATGCTCTTCCTCTCCCCCGGGGGATGGCCTCATTGATCATACTGCCTACCAGGAAGAGGCTCCGACCCATGCTGTTCCCACACTGTGCTAAGACACCGTCTAGGCATGCGCTAGTTGGTACAAAACCACGCCAGACTAGCAGTTACACAGTACAGATGATCACTGGATGGTACCTGAAACCCAAGCCCCACTAGATTAATCAGAGTTGCCTTTGCTCGTTCAAGGCTGAAACAAAATTTAGAGAGAAAGACTTCCCCTGTCCCACTTTGCGGCCTCTGAAAGTCAGTCACTTTTAAAGGGCCCTACTTTCTGGGAATGGAGGCACTGGATGCGAAGGAAACAAAATGACAGCGAAATGCAGTATCTTCTGAAAGTCAGACCCCAAAGGGCACCTCAGCCTTTTTCAAGCCCAGGTCATCCCATTTACACCAGGAGGGTGGATGGAAATGCAAACGCAGTGTGACATGTCACACACTCTCAAGTGTTCACAGCAATTCTGTGCCTCTTGCTGTAAGCCCAAGGAAACCAGTAGGACTCCTCTCCCTGCATTCCTCCTGCCTCCCACAAAGGGTGACACCAGCAACAGGACAGCATGGAGCACTACGGCCACTCCCGCAGCTCCGAGTCACCACGCAGCTCTTAAGTGCTACGCCTGGGGACTGGTCTCTTCTAAGCTCAGCCCTGAACCACGCTCCAAGAGGCACAGCACTGTTTTTGCCCAATGATTTTTGTTTGAGCCACTTCCTGTAATTTGGGAGCACAGCTCTTATATAACTAATGGAAAGTACTTAAATGGCAATTCACAGACAGAATTTAAGGTCGGCCACCATAATTCTCACCTCGAGCCTGTGAGAGATTTCAGCTAACTTTGTTATCGCAGGTTCCTTGTAAACAAATTCTTGCTCATCCAGGTCTCCAAATTTAGTTCCATAAAACCCAACCCGGAAGTAGGTGCCAAACATCCTCTTTCCATCCTAGGTTTGGAGAAACGAAAGGTTATCTCATTGTGGAGACATGCATACTCCAAGCACGGCTGCAGACACGCTCCTGAATTTATGCAAAATTAAAAAGAAATTAAAAAACAAAGAAGGAAAGAAAGAAAGAAGGAAAAGAAAAACACCTGGAACTCAGCATGAATGCATTTAGCAGCAAACACCACACTGAAATTAAAAATTGACATAAAATAATATGGATCAGTTATGACCTTTAGCCCAGCCCTGCAATGAGTTTTCCCAGGCCAGGAGGAGTCTGGGAGTGTTGGATGTCTCTGAGGACCAGTTAAAAGCAAGTTCCTCCATGTGGGTAAATACTTCAAGCTCCCTAAATTCCACATAGAGACCCCTTAGCCTGGCCCACAGCTGCAGGCTCGAGGCAGTGAAGCTGCCAACAGCCTCCAAAGGCTGCAGCCCCCAAGCAGAATATTGCACACAAACAGCCCCTGAAAATTACCCACAACCAGAGCCTCCATAATCTACCCACAAGTGATTGCAGGATTGGGCCTAGGTCAATAACTAACACACACACACACACACACACACACACACACACACACACACACACGTGCTTTTTAAATAGCATGTTGATTGAAAGGCGTTAAGGTCTCCGCTAGTAACTAATTTGTAAAATAGAGGGCCAAAGTCACTCCTGGTGAAAGCAGATGCAATCCACTGTATCATGTACCTGCTTCTGTTTGAGCCAGTGGTGAATTTGGCCCAGAAATGCAACCAAAGAATAGAAAGATTTTTGCTGGAAAAGTGACAAAGAAAATTTGATTAAAAGAGACGGAAAAAACGCTTTAAAAATAAATCACATCTTCAATTTTGTTAAAGGCTAAAACAACTCATGTTGCATGCACAAACCAGAAATGCCTTTTAGCAAGAAACTCTAAAATGTTCACCTTTACTCTCCTGGGAAAGTTTGATACAGTCTATAATGCACAAAGTTTCTGATCTGAGTTAGTGTCTGGTTCCAAATAGCACCTACAGATGTCCTGGCTGCCACGTATGATTTCTATTCAGTAGTTTGCTATGACAAAACTAACCTTTTGTGGTGATGGTGAACATGATTTATGGAAAGCAAAGAGGATGAATAAATCAAACTAAAATAAAAAAGAACCACATCAGGGAAAAATGACCAGCTGGAGGGATCTGTTCAAAGAGCTGAGGAGAAATGTTCTCACCACATTAATTATATTACGATTTTGGTGTATTTCCTCCTCTACTTAGTAGTTTTGGTAATTCAAACATTCTGTGGCTTTAGAGGAACATTATTTCCTTTTGCTTTGGATCAAAAAAACACAGACAAACTCCAGAACTTGGAAAAAGCATTGCCACCGTGAGCCACTGCTTCTCCTTGCCTGAAGGAAACTCATGGGTATCACACGGGAACCGCGTTTCTGAGTGCTGGCATGGCTCGATTCTGCCTAATATGCGCAGGTCACGTCTCAGCTTCGTTACAGGATGCTGACAGACACAAATTCATAGGCTCCACACTGGCAAGAGCGTAGTCACACGCTCAGATTTAAGAAAACGCTCACCCAGAGCTTTGCTCATCTGCCTAACCTCGTGCAGGTGATGCCTGGGACTCTAGCCCGTCCCTCTGAGCCATCCCACCTCCAGAGAGGTGATTTGAGCCAACCCCACCTGCCAGCACAAACAGCTGGATTTTTGTCACACCTGCAGCTTTCCCCAGATGCACCCCAGCTCCTGGGGATGTGAATCCCAGCCAGGAAGCTATTACTGTTTAATCAGCAGTATGATCTGGCAAACCTTGGCAGCTATTTCCTTGGACTCTGTCTTTCTGCAGTGCCGTTCCTTCTAGACCCATATAGAAATGACCAGCCTACTGAACCCTTAGTTTACCTATCACTATCCTTTGAAAGCCACATTTTTGACAATATTACCCATGCTAAATTCCCTCAACCCCTACAGCATTTCTAGCTGTGCAATTTTTATTCAATTTAATCTCACTGTGATTGGCAAAAGATTGTGAGCCCAGTCCTCCTTTCCTGACATTTCTCAAAAGCACTTTCCAAGGTAGCACTACGTTTTGTCCAAGGGGAACTGCCTTACAGGGAGTGAAACATCTCCCCCAACCTTCTGCTGGGTCTGGGCTTGCTCCACAGGGATGCCAGTGGGATTCTGCCTCTGACCCATTAGCATAGGGCAGGCCCCACCGATGGAGAATGCAAGGCTGCTCTCCTAATTCATGTTTTTCTCCTATCTACTTGGCCACACTGCCCCCTTCTAGGCCAGGCTTCCACATGACAGGCTTCATCCACTCTTT